TCTCATTTCTTGCTGGGTATAGAGGCAGTGGCGATACATATGCCTGCAGTGTATGCAGCGGTGATGGACATCGTGTTATGATGATACATGTAACAACCCATGCATTGTCACTTGCCAAGAACAAAGGCAGATTAGAGTGAGAGGGAGATTTTATTTTCTGAGCTGAATTTTGCCCCCAATATTTTATATGCAACTTGTTTCTTATAAGCTAAAACAGAAAACAGTGTGCAAAGAATGTTACCTCATGAGAATTTCATTTTCATTTTGACTCTGGAACTGAACTGCTTTGAATTGTTTTTTCATAGGCTATTTGACGTGCAACTTGTTTCCTCTAAGCTAAAGCAGAAAACAATGTGCAAAGAATGTCACCTCACAAGAATATCATTTAAAACCGGAAGCTGGAGCTGAACATTTATTTTTCACATTTAATTATTCCATGGTTATACTACTGTATTTTAACAAGCTCAATCTCGCAAGAATTGAAGACTCTTGTTTGAGTGAGATGACTGAAACCATCGCCTCTCATATGTTATGGTCTTTTTATTAATTCAAAATTGTTAATCCACACTTCTCATGTAGTGACAAGGGCATGCGCCCTAATGTATATGTTTATCACTTCTAAGGGGAAAAAAGAGGAGGGAAAAAAGCCGCGTCACCGCACCACTTTTGGACCAAGCCCGTGACCAGAAATCGGAGTCTTTTTTTGGCCTAATGCCACAAGGCCAAAGGACAATGTGGTATGTACCACACAGACTCTGTATCATATAATATACAAAACTGCATATGTCCTTTTCATTTGATTGGTGGATTGTTGATCATGTGTCATTGAAATATTCATTCTGTTCAATGGCACTGTAATAGACCGTTAATATAGCCACTAAAATAGCCTCAGCCGCCGGCAAATCCAGAGAGCCACTGGTGGAGGGCCTCTGGTGGACCGCCCTGACCCGCTTCTTTTGTAATTGTATAACATTTTGTGCACACCAGAATTTGGTTTCTATTTCGGGATGCTTGTGGTTTTGGCGGGTGGGGGAAGGGTTTGGCAAAGTTCCCGGGCGGGAATTGTTTAACATTGTTATACATTCTTTTGGATGAGAGTCGTAATGGCGTAGTTGTGGTTCTGACGGTAGTGCAGAAAGCTGTAAGCCAGATTTTCAGTGGATTAACTTGAGGTTTTGTCGTTGTAAATCCTGTGAGTTATGTTCTCTTTTTGGTGTTCCTGATTTTTGGTGTAATACAGGGTGTGTCAGAAAAAAGTAGACTCTCAGAAAAAAAACCCATAAAGATAACATAGGGACAAGTTTTAAAAATCGGGTTTTATCTGTTGGTGAAGGGTGTAGTTCTGCTTTGATTGATGCCAGGTTTGTGGTTCACATTTCACACTTCAATGAACAGTGGAAGTATGAATTTTGAAAATAAAAGTCTGTTGCACATGGATGTGTCAGGGTTAAAATGAGATCCGTCAGGTTGAATGAAAAATTATAAAGGAGTTCTACTGTTCATTGAAGAAAAGCAGAACTACACCCTTCACCAACAGGTACAACCAGATTTTTGAAACTTGGTCCTCTCATATTTTGATGGTAAATTTTCCGCTGAGAGTCTGCTTTTTTCAGACACACCCTGTATTACTATCCAGTTTTTATTAATACGCCCTGAATAGGGATGGGAACCAGTGTAACACTTCACGAAACTACCTGTGGGTGGTGCTTCAGACACCAATATGTTTCACGAAATGGCGGACTTTAATATGCAAGAACCTTTTGTTCTAACCGAAGATGAAAGGGTCATGAGGCTTTATGCAGTTATTGTATAAAACAAATAATGAATGTTTCAAATTTGTGCAGTGGTAAGAATAATTTCATTCAGTGACAGGTAAAAAGTTCTATTCCATTCGGCTTCGCCTCGTAATGTAGCACATTTTGCCCGTCAACTCATGAAATTATCTGTACCATTGTGCTCAAACACATTATTTGTATAATGTAACATAAAAGACCTGCATGGAAGGACTCCAACTGGAAGGGTGTATACAATGAGAAAGTTCCTGAAGAAGCTCATGGCCTGGTCAACTTAAATTGGAGGGGGGGAAGAACAGTCC